AAGTTGGCCGCTTCAGTTCAGTTTCACGCTCCAACAGTTCCGATCGTCTCAACGCTACTTGGAAGGCAACTGAGAGAAGGAGAAACTGTGAATGCGTCATATCTGCGACGACATGCTCGTGAGCCAGTCAACTTTTTGGACGGTATAAACTCAATCCAGTCAGCTGGGTTGGTCAATGAAAAGACCCTATTCTTGGAAGTAGGCCCTCATCCGGTTTGCATAGGCATGGTGAAGTCAACGCTTGGGAAGGAGACTGTGGCAGTTTCTTCCCTGAGGAGGACTAAGAGCGCTTATAAAACGCTCAGCGACAGTCTTTCCACTCTTCACACAGCAGGCTTCAATATTGACTGGAATGAATATCATCGAGATCAGCTGGATTGTGTCCAGCTTTTGGATTTGCCGACATATGCCTTCGATGAGAAGAATTACTGGATTCAGTATACTGGAGACTGGTGTCTGACGAAAGGAAGAGCCAGTGATAGTCAAGTTGCCCCTCGGCAAGATTCGAAACCCAAGATTTCTACTACAACCGTACATAAGGTTGTTGAGGATTTGGTTGACGGCGATGTGGCGACTGTCTCCACCGAGTCCGATCTGGCAAGAGCTGACCTTCGCTCTGCCGTCATGGGACATTTAGTCAATGGCGCAGGTCTTTGTCCATCATCAATCTATGCTGACATGGCCATGACAGTGTGCGAGTATGCATACAAGCTTGTGCGCCCAGATGTTGAGAATATCGGCATCAACGTTGCAAGCATGGAAGTAATCAAGCCACTCATTGCACGGCCAGACGGCGCGAGTCAAATTCTCAAGCTAACTGCCAATATTGATGCTTCTCGCAGCTCTGCAAAACTCATCTTCTCAAGCGGATCAGATAAGGCTCGCGTCGACCATGCTCACTGCGTTGTCACATTCGGTGATCGTGCTACTTGGCTATCGGAATGGGAGCGAGTAGCTTACCTGATCCAACATCGAATCGACTGGCTCAAGAATGCCGAGAAAAACGGCAAAGCTAGTAAGATAGGTCGTGGTCTTGCATACAAGCTCTTCTCTGCGTTGGTTGACTACGATGAAAAGTATCGCGGTATGGAAGAAGTTATTCTCTGCAGTGAGAACATGGAAGCAACATCGCATGTCTCCTTCCAGACTAAACCTACAGATGGTATTTTCGTATGCAGTCCATACTGGATTGATAGCGTGGCACATATCTCCGGCTTTATTGTAAACGGCAGCGATGCTGTCGATTCAAGAAATCAAGTCTACGTGTCTCATGGTTGGGATTCTCTTCGCATCGCCGAACCATTTTCTGCCGAAAAGACTTACCGTTCATACGTCAAAATGCAACCAGCTGGCGGAAAGATGCTTGCTGGTGACGTCTATGTCTTTGATGGCAGTAGAATTGTTGCCGTCGTTGGTGGTCTAAAGTTCCAGTGCATCTTACGGGCTGTGCTAAATACTTTGCTCCCAACAGTCGGTGTTACGGCTCCTCCAGCCCAAGGTCCAGTAGCTGAGCCATCACCAGCTGCAGCTATACCGACCACATCTGCCTTACACAAGACAGCCACGACTACTACGAAAATCAAGACTGCGCAAGACAGCACAACAAGCCTGGAGCCTGCCAGTAAGAAGTTTGCGACTCTCTGTTCGCAAACAATGGACATCGTGGCAAAAGAAGTAGGCGTCGGCATGGATGAGCTCGTTGATAACATCACATTTGCGGATCTCGGAATCGACTCTCTTATGTCGCTGACAATAGGCGGGACAGTTCGAGAAAAGCTCGAGATCGAGTTGCCCTCGTCAATCTTCCTCGAATGCCCGACAATCGGGCAGTTCAAGAGCTCGCTGGCCAGGTTTGAGAGAGCAGACAGCGAGATTTCTGAACACACGGAAGATTGTATCTTATGTACTAATATTGATGACTGCACACCTAATACTGATGACTCCACACCTAATACTAATAGCTCCACACCTAATTTTGGGGAGATGTCTCCCTTGTCAACTCCAGCAGATGATTCGGATTTGGAATTGAGCAAGGATGATCAACTTTGTGAGATTATTCAAAATACTATCGCGGTCGAAGTTGGTGTCACAACGCAAGAAGTCGCCGATGCACTAGATCTTGCCCTTCTTGGTGTTGATTCTCTTATGGCTCTTTTGATTCTTGGGAAGTTGAGAGAGGAGACTGACCTATGTCTGCCGGCTGATCTTTTCGTCACCTGCGCATCCATCAAAGACATCGAGCGCAAGCTTGGAATTGGCCAGCCACCCAAACCTGTCCGCATTTCTGCCAGATCTTTCCCAAAGCTATTACCCCGACCAATATCCACAGAAACGGTTTCTCCCAAAGAAACTGGACACCAAGTCACCAATATCACGCCAGAGCGCTTCGCAACGTCTGTGCTTCTCCAAGGAAAGATTCGCACCGCCACCTCGCATCTCTGGATGGTTCCTGACGGCTCCGGCTCAGCAACCTCTTACGCTGACATCCCAGAGATCTCACCAGGGCTAGCCATGTGGGGTCTCAATTCACCATACATGAAGACAAGTGAGGAATTCACCTGCGGCGTCCCTGGCATAGCTGCAAAGTACATCCAGGAGGTCAAGCGTCGCCAGCCAGTGGGGCCATATATGCTGGCTGGCTGGTCGGCCGGGGGGGTCATTGCTTTCGAAATGTTGAATCAGTTGGTGAAGGCGGGCGATAGAGTCAGTCATCTGATCATGATCGATGCGCCATGCCCTCTGATCATTGAAGCTTTACCAGCCTCACTCCATCGCTGGTTCGCATCTATCGGACTGCTCGGCGATGGTGACCCGAATAAACTCCCTTCCTGGCTTCTTCCCCACTTCGCCGCCTCAGTCGCGGCTTTATCAACATACAACGCCGTTAGTATCCCCAAAGACAAGGCGCCCTCGGTGACGGCTATCTGGTGCGAAGACGGTGTGTGTAAGAACGAGAGCGACCCGAGACCCGATCCATATCCAGAAGGACACGCGCTGTTTCTGTTAGATAACAGGAGCGATTTTGGGCCGAACCTATGGGATTCTTTTCTGCCGGCGGAGAAGATTAGATGTGTGCGTATGCCAGGGAATCATTTCTCGATGATGGGAGGAGACTTGGTGAGTTTTTCCAATGTAGGAGCGTGGTTATATACGTACTAATTTGGTGATAGGTGAAGAAACTTGGAGATAAAATCAGAGAGGCCGTTACGATGGTTTGAATATAATGTTCCACTGATATATAGCTATGAAGGATGCCCTCCTTAAGAGAGCATTTAAAGTCTTATTAATTACAATATACGATCACTATTTAGACTCACGATTGACTACGTGACACAGAGCAGTACTTGAGAGGACCATTAGTAATGAGGAAACAGATGTTTTGGTGCTGAGAACTTAGAGCTATGGTATCCTTCTGTTGCAATACTGGCGAGAGATGCACTACCTAGAACTGGTAGTGCACGTACACTTACCTAGAACTGGTAGTGTATCTCTCGCCAGTATTGCAAGTGTACATACTAACGTAAAATAGTAATACAGAATGGGGGTTATTGTCGGAAAAAAATAGGATGCGCAGCGTTGACGCGTTTGAGTACGGAAACCTTATTAAGCCCTAATGCCTTTGCAGCTGCATATGAAGACTTATACAACCCTTGTTGGACTCCTAAAGCAGCTTCAGTAAGCTTAGTATCAAGTTCAAGCGCGTTTGCACTTATTCGACAGACCATTGGTATGTGATGTATATTCTGGTTGGGTGGTCCTCGCCGAAATAGAGCCACTAGAACAGTTAAGCCACGACTTACGTTAGTTATGACTTTTCATAGTTAGTTAGTTGACACTTATGAGTTTTGAATTCCAACAGTTAGTTCGTTATGGCCCTAAAACAGACAGTTTAAACTACTGACTACACTGGAGACCCCTGGACAAAAGAGGCTCTAAGCGATGATATTATGACAGTGCATTGATGTATGTGATGTTGATTAATTGATTGAGGCAAGAGAGCTGCTCTACGGAATCTCTACGTGTGGAGGTGCTCGCTAGTCGAGTTCACTCAACCACGTCGTGCGGGCTCAATACCCAGAACCTCCAGAGTTCCTCATATTATCAATGACCTCAACACTGAGTCGTGGCGAAAGTATCTACTGGCGTAATGAGGCTAGGTCGCTATGAACCATGGCGTATGTGAGAAACATGGGGGGGTTGGTTGTAGGCGTGAGAAGGAAGGTTTTATCCAATCTGTACGCCGATACTGACGACCACAGATAGAAGCTGTCTCAGCGCAGCTGCATGCAGAGGATGTAGCTGCACTCAGCGACAGTGCAATTGGTCAGCACTGGAACAGAACCTTAAAAATGCGGTGCTTCTAACAGAAGCTCTGACCAGCTGACATCACCATTGAGTGTCCTACGGCGGAGATTCGCAACAGCATTAATCCCCTTGAGTAACGGTAGCGCTGATACAACGAGAGTATTCTGTTGCCATAGTACGTTCTACAGAAGCCATATTTATTCTCTAGCATATATCAGTCGTGATGCATCCCTGTTCCGCTGCCACGAGGTCTAGCGGGCATGCGGGGACTGGTCTCGACTGTTGGGACCAAACCGTGGTCTGGCCTGACGCTTCCAAACCGCAGTCCCAACCGGCTTCTTAGCAAGCCGGTGCTATATAGCAAATAAGTATCTCTACACCTATTTTATATAAAGGTACAATAAGTGCATTCATTATTCATTAGCTGGGGGAGAGATCATTTCCACGAGACTTTGAAAGGTACATTAGGTCTAATACAGCCAAAGAAAGTACACAGTAAGTACTCTTACAAATTGTGCTCCTCACGTCATATGGTAGAACATATCTAAACCGCCCGGCCTAGGCTGTCATGAACCACAAAAGCGGGTACGGATGATCAACCCGATACGCCCAGGGTCTACGGTAGCAACTCATTGTGGGCGAATTCCTCTAAGTTAGTTAATTTCTGCGACTTGGATTCAATGTCGCGTCGTGAACATATGGCTACTAAAGGACGACCTAGCTTCCTTCATATTCTGTGGTGGACGGATCTAGCATCTAGTTGACAGCAACTACTATCGCGTCATTTTGGCGCTTCCGCTTCTTTGGCCGGTTCGCTACGTCATTATATAAATAACTGTCCCTAGATCACAGGTTTATCATATGGCCATCTAACTTGTCTGAAATGATATATGTTGCTCCAGAAGCATTTTACCTTCACTCGACTTAAATGGCATCGAATTAACGCAACATTTTCATCAGTGGAGCTCCAGCCAACGTCGACCATGCCACCCATAGGATGCCATCTATTATACCTACATTTCAATAACTCTCAAAACGAATACTAGCTACGATGTCATCAAGCAAAGTTTCAAATAAGACCCGCCTTCAGAGGTTGAGAGCTTCTTGTGATGGATGCTTCTTCGCAAAGGTCAAATGCAGTAAAACTAGGCCGATATGTTCTCGCTGCCTCACATGCGGAACAGATTGTAAATACAGTCCATCGTTGAGGATCGGCAAACCAAGTACAGATAGGAGAATCAGCAACTCCAACATCAATGTCAGTGCTGCCGACCGAGATACGAACGTCGACGAGGCCTCGCATTCCCGCTTTGCGTTTGACTCTCAAGCTATGCCCATAGCTACTGATAAAAAGAATATTTCATTGGGGTCAGCGTATGGAAATAGACAGCAATTATCTTCGGCAAACACAACTGCATCCCATCGCAACGACGCTTTGCTTGATGCTTACGATTTGGGTCTGCCTCCTAGCACTGCCGAGTTGTTTGACCACTCGCTCCCTTGGACGCCAATACCGCACATCGAGCTTGACAATCCTGTAGTCCAAAACGATCAAGGGACGATGATGTCGTGGCCGAAATATTTAGGGGCTGTACCACAGCTGAATTTAATCTCGCCATGGTCCGATAGTCAGCCGTCAAATTTACCATTCTATCCCCGCACGAATGCAGAACTTCCATCGCCAAATTCATCGCTCGATTTCAACTCTCCACCTGATTGCCGAACCAATGCTAAGATATCCTCGCCATCCTGCAACTGCTTTACGACCTGCCTTCAATCTCTTCAAGCTCTTCACAATCACTCCAGCACCACTCGATTAGCATCAGCGTTTGATATGGCCTTGACCATCAATCGAAAAGCTGTAGAAGGATGTGCCAGTATGTTGGCTTGCAGAGAATGTGTTTCCAAATCGGGATCCAATACCACTACCATGCTCCTTGCCACCATAATGGAGAAAATATTGTCATTTTACCAGGTAGCGTTGCAGAGTGACTTCAGTGATACGACTAGAGCAGACACACAAATGCCTATCGGCAGTTATCGCGTTGCTAACGAAGATGGTCGTTGGCTCAGGAATGAAATTTTATGGCGCGAACTCTGGAAACTGGAACAACTCTTTGGGCGTTTCCGCGAAGTTTGCGGACGCAATGAAAGGGACAGGGATGCTGGCATTTGTTCTACTTTGTTGGGCCACCTATCAAAAAGCCTTAAGATCGCATATGAAGAACTGAGAATGGGCAAAGCAGCGTATGACGCCTGGAATAGCCGATTCAATGTTCTGGCCGACGGAAGGATGTTAAATATGTGCGACAATGTATGCTTATGACGCGCGTGTCATAAGCATACAGAGGACGGGATCATCAGAGTTCAATTGCGATTGGTTTCGAAAAGTTATCAATCTTTTTAGGGTTTAATGGTCTTATATATCGGTTTAACATATTCAAAATATGGAAAACTGTTTCCTCTCAAATGTGAGCCCACTTCAATTGAATGGAAGAGTCACTTGGACTTGAACTATATCGTTACTATTTCTCTATGAAGTCTCGTCGGGATACCTTCATGGCATGAATCTAGCTAGAGCATAAACCTAAAAAAGTACACTTACAACATTGCCATTTCAGAACTGAAACGAGTTGAATGTTTAGATAAGGTATGGCAGTGAGAACAGCTTAATTCTTTTATTCACTTCCAAATCACGCACTCCAATTACTCCAACCCAAAGCGAAAATGTTAGTCAGGACGATTATGGAGTTGGGCAAAACATCTCAACAAAATCTTGACCGAGGCAAATCCGTCACTTAATGTCATTAGAGCTGAGCACGAGTCGCGAACTTCAATTATGCATATCAGTTGAGGAGGTAGTCAAACATGCAACTCTTTGGTTTAGATTCAATCTATTATTTGCAAGTTACATGTAGAGGTTGAGGAACAGAAACCTGCATGCAATGTTCGACATTTTCTCGTCCATACAATATTGTGACACGACAGTCAGAAACCAATGCTGTTCAGCCATTTCTCTTTGAAAGCAACGACTGATGCACCATTTAGATGGCTCCTCCACTCAGTCTGATGACCTGGCCTGAGATGATAAGATTAGCATGCGTCTACAAATTATCACCGACAAGGGTGAAAATGAGATCCCTTACCATTAATCCACTCGCTTTCTGGGCTCACAAGTAGTGATACGGCACGGCCAATATCAGCTGGATACCCAACGCGGTTCAATGGGGAGGCCTTTGCAATACCCGCATCGATTTCGCTCATTGGCGTATCCGGTGTTCCGCCAGGTGTATAATGCCATGCATTACCCTGGAACATGTCGGTCTTGACGCCTCCCGGAGCAATCGCGTTGCAGGTGATACCCTTCGGGCCGCAATCAATGCTGAAGCACCTTGTGAACCCCTCCACGGCTGCCTTTGAGCCTGCGTATAAGGCGTGGTTGGGCACGTGCGAGATAGAGGCAGCAATCGAGGACATGAGGATGATGCGGCCGCCGCGTGGGAGATACTTCATGCCTTGCTGGGCGACGAAGAACTGACCACGGCAGTTGAGGTCGAAAATTCGATCGAAGTCCTGCTCGGTGACCTTGAGCTCATCTTTCCAAACCTCAGTGCCGGAGTTTGAAATGACGAAGTCCAGGTGGCCAAAGTGGGCGATGCCGTCTTCGAAGAGCTGGAAGATCTCATCAGGCTTAGAGACATCGGCACGCAGAGCAATAGCCTTGGCGCCAGTTCCGAGCTTGTGGATCTCACTAACGAGCGACTTGGCTTCCGTCGCGGACGACGCATAGTTCGCGATGATGGAGCAGCCGCGCTGGGCGAGCTCGAGAGCCATGCCTCGGCCGATTCCACGGGATGCACCGGTTATGAGGGCGACTTTTCCGGCAAATGGAAGAGAGGTAAAAAATGTAGTGGCACCTTGGGAATCAACATCACCGCCCATAGCGAGGCTAGAGGCGATCTCGTCAACTGCTGCTGGTGGGGCCATGATTTTGAAAGTTTTGAGGTATTGTAGATGTCGCTGTCGAAGCCTAACGTTGCATAAATGGGGAAGGATGATATGCGAAAAGTAGCTCTATAAGTCACTCGGTTTGAAGAAGTAATCTTCTAGCGTTGAGATATATATCACCATCTTGATGTGTTTATGTCATCGGCTTCGAAAACGTCCTCTTCCGTCCGTCTTGTGCGTCGCATTTGAAGTCCGCACAGTCTCCGTTCCCATATCCGTTAATGACAGCATTTGGCTTCCCCTTTCCCCAAACTGATTCGTCCCGTTCCCTTTTCCCGAAGTCCATAGAGCTGCGCCCAGTCCTTCTTTGGGGGCAGAGAGGGCTAACGATGCAGGAGGGTGTGCAGCAGAGCCGCTGTCCGAAGGCAGCGGACTTCCCCAACGGACTTCCCCAGCGGGCTTCCTGACGGACTTCCGGGCTTGGACGGGGCGGGGAGGGACTTGGTAGTGCGTGACGTAGAACGAATTAGTAGGGCGGTTGACGGAGAATAGGAAACATCCGGTGAAAGAGCAAGGTAGCTAGGAGAGCTAGAGGTAAGTTGGTGTATGAACTGGGAATGTAAGACCACCAGCCATGATGAGAGAATAATGTTGGGGAAAAGAGGACAGGCACACCATGGGATACGGCGGTGGTATTTTGGCCCTAAAATGGCAGCTTTTCCCAGTGTTATCGTCGGGCTCCCCAATTGGTGCTTGGCGTGAGCCAATTGCCTCGGAATTCCAGCGCATTAGGTTTCAGGCCTAAACCCTTCCCATAAATAATACGTAGGCTTCGTAGATAGTGTAGTAATTCAATTAATCGATTTATTCGATATACTGTAGTCTACTGTCGAGTTTTCCTGCCCGTTGCGCAAAAGCCGAAGGCCCCATCACCAAAAATATCACACGATTTGCGCGCGGTCGCAATATTGCTGAGCACATATTTGGAGCTTGACGACTTGATTAAGCAACTATAGGTGCAAAGCCCTATATATACCACAATCTACGCTGTATAGCGTACTACTAGGAACGCAGTTCCAATAAATATCTCGGTCCTTCCTTACAACAAATAAATGCTTCGTCCGGTTGCACGTGATCTTCCACACCTTCTCGTTCACTTCGTACGATACGGCATGCAAAAAATATTAACCATCGGACACATTTCAATCTCCCGAGAAGCCGTATTTTTCAGTCGCACTCTTCCACCAGCCGAATTTGAGAACGTATAAAAATTGAGGAAAACAAGCCACCATGCTCTGATTGCATAGATTCCATGAGACTGAGATGGCAAACCGATGACCTACGCAGAGATTGAACCTGTAGTCTGTTCATTCGTAGTCAAGCGCCTTCGTAGTGGACTAGCAGGCCTGCAGTTCAATATGTGCTTACGTGGGGAGGCTCATATTGCAATGTGATTGATAAATAGGTAGTATTGAAAGTGGGGTTGGGAAAGGATGATCGTTGAGATTTATAGATTTGTAGACTCATAAAGTGATCATATGCTGCGAATGTTTCTGTGCCATCCCCTCGTCGCTCTTCTCCTTGGGTACCGGCTCCTTTCAGCTTTCTGAAGATCCGCCCTCCAAATATAAATGGACGTCATGCAGGGGCTTACGTTCAACCCCACAAATGAATTATTCGTCTCGCAAGAAACAAAAAAAGATTGATGGAAAACACGTATATTATGGGCCATGCAGGCCTCCAGCACCATGCCAATTCCCCTTTAACGTCCGTAATTTCCTCACAATCCCATCCGCGAGCCTTCCTCCCCTCCCATTCCCTCCCTCGTCCATCCCGCCCACGAACCTAATGCAAGCCTCCAAAACCGCCTCCGGCTCTTGCAACTTGCACATGCTGCCATCTCGGCCCCTTAGCACCGGCAGCCCCTCCCTCTTCCATAGCCAGCACATCAACGCCGCATCATCGGCCATGCTCTCATTAATCACCACAATTGGATCCTCCGCAGCCGGCAGCTGGAAGCTCGGATCAGACCTGGCGAGGACGTCAAACCAGAGAACCAAGCTGGCGCGGTAGACGGCGAGGGAGGCCCACGGCGGCATGCAATCTGGGGAGTCGAAGAGGGTCACCAGGCGCAGAATCTGCCCTGCATGGAAAAGCGCGGAGAATCTGTCAAAGATGCACTTTTTGTGCTGCAGGCTGAGATCCCAGTGTGGGTTCGCTGTGGCAAGCGTGGCGGGAGCACGGCGCGCAAGGCGCTCCAGGGATGGGATGGAGGTGTGTGCGTTAAGGCTGATCAGGTGATATAGGATCAGATTTGTAGTCTTGGTCAAGTCGTGGGCCGAGCCAGAAACGGAGGGAGGAAGGGAAAGGTGTAGGTTGTACCATTTTTGTAGTAGGGATTGGACTTCCTCGAGACGTATGAGGGTTGAGGCTTTGGTGGGGGTCCGCGTTGAGGAGCGCCGCGTGGAGAGGACCTCTGAGAAGCAAGTTAGAAGTTGCCGAACTTCATAGAGAAGGCTTTGGATTGGATGGAGGAGGAGGCGTAGTGTTAATGGTGTGAGGGACGCGGAATGGTGGAGATGGTCGTTTAGGAAGTCTTGGAAGAGTTCATGGAGGGACGTCCGGATATGTGATGTTGAGGATGAGGAGAGGAGCGTCGACCAGGCATGGGCGGAGGAAGCGGAGAATAAAGAGGGGTTGGGGTGGGGGAGGAGTGCGTGCAGCTCGGAGATGGAGAGGATGGTTGACATGTCGTCGAAAAGCGATATTTCTTGATCGAGCAGAACCCAGTCGTATACTAGTCTGTCAAGTATCAGTCAGTCACCGGAAATAGACAGGAGATCTAGGCAGGATCCTCACCGACTCCGAGTTTCGGCCTCTACCCAAGCGCGCCATTGCACATCCACGGTTGAACTCCCACCTAACCTCGACACCGAAATATCTTGCGGCTCCAACATCCCAGCGTGTTTCAGCATAGTGAGATACATTCCGCGCTGTCCCATCGCAATATCCATATGCCATTTATCCCCACTCCAGGCACCGAGCATCGTAAATAATAGCGCACATCGCAGAACAGTGGGGTCAGCGCAGAGCTCAATATCTTGTTCAGTGATATCAAAGAGCAATATCCTACAGATTTCTGTCAAACCAGCTGACAGACAGCGAGCTTCTGTTGACCTTGACATCGAAGCGCCTTGGCCGATCATGAGGAGGATGAGGAGAGTAGAAGTATGGTTACCGTGGATGAGCTCGTTAGGGTCGATTCTTCCCCTAGCATCGAGCGAATAATATTTCGATAAATTAAGAGTATATTTCAGGAGAAAATACTCCAACATATTCGCTGGTGGGAGAAGACGAGAGCTGAAATTTGCTGGACTGAGATAGTGGCCATTCTGGCATTTGTTCGTGAAACCACTACGATGTGTTTTCAAGGCGCGATACAGAAAACCTAGCGTAATGGCATGAAGAGTATCGCGGGTGCCGGAGTTAATAGGCTCGACATTAATGAAATCTGATGCAGACATAGCTAGGTCAGGCTGCAAGGCTAGGGAATCCCAAGCACGTTCATGTTTAGAGATTTGTCCCAGTCTCTCAAGATGCACAACAGTCGTACGTTGGCAGGAGTCTGAGAATGTGGGCGGATTACACCGTGCTAATGGCCAAGCTTGCTCTGTAGCCAGGGGTTCTTGAACTCCAGGTGCAACAGCACGATAAGACAGCCTGGCCCGCTTGGAACGTGGCTGGTCTCCCATGTCGACATCGCCAACTGAACTTATACTGCAACTTCTTGTATGTGATATCGATGGTTGATATTGTATTGAGCTAGAGCTTATGTCAGAACCTGACGAGATGTCGCCTTGATCTGAATACACCAGATGCATGTTTTCGGGTGGCACAGATGTGAGATTACCATAAAGGTTCATATCCATGGATAAATCGTCCCATGTGAGCGGATCTTGATAATTCAAGACAGGACTCGCAATGCCGTCGTTGTATTGCACAAAGCCATCGAAGCCACCAATTCTCGTTGGCTCTGGCTCGCCGGAGATACTAGTGCTATATATTTGGGGCGTAGGTGATGCAATTTCCATCGCAGGAGCCGAATGTAAACAAGGGTCAATAACCATATCATTATTTTCTAGTGGAGTAGCGATAGCGGAATGCTGTGGTGGTTTGGGTTCGATTGATTCTGGAGCTTGCTTGGAGGCTTCTGACGCGGCTATTGCTTTCACCATCAGAGTTGATGGTCGTCGCGTAAACCTTGCTTCACATGGCAGCGATTTATCTGCACACCTTGCGCATGGTACACGCTTGTCACAGCTAGTCTTTGCACTCGCACAGTTGAGGCAAGCGATGGGTGTTCGTCCAGCAACAGTTTGAATAGACGCTGGAGGTGCGAGAGATGGATCTCCTATTTCATGATATGTCGAGTAATGGCGCTGCAGGAGATCTCTGCGTAATCATCAAAAACGATTCGGTCATGGGTGATATGATATGAACTTACTTTCTCGCGAACGAAAGCTGGCACGATTTGCATCTGTGAGGTTTTACATTTGTATCTTCTACTTCTCAGCATGTTAAGCAGCCTAGATGTAAAGAGGATACGCACGACTTGGTATATGCCTTTCCAAATGCTCCTTTCTCGTGAACCTTTTACCGCAATAGGTACAAAAGATCATGTTGAGGATGGTGTGATTTCCGAGATTCAAGAAAGAGACAGCAGAGGGTAGCAGCTCTTAAGGACAGAGTAAATTGACAACTTGAGCGATGGTTACAATTTCGACTATCTCCACCCTGACATTTGCCAATATTACAATATCACGGTGAGTATGCACTTGCACAAAGAGCGGCTGGGTTTGAAAGATTCGTTTGAAAGTGCGGAAATCAAAGCAGACACAAATGGCATTACGAGCCCTAGGAGCTCGTAATAGGTTCCATGTAGTCTCGTACCTACATGCTCCGAGTATACTCATTACTACGAAACTGTACAGGGGACATGTAATGCCCCTACAATCGTCCTGCCCACACCTCGAGGCCCGACTCACGCCAACTACTCCCGGCCTGAAGCTGAGGCTGCTTCAATTGACTGTGGACGGCGCCGTCGCGGCGCCGCCATCCACAGTCGGGGCCCAGGCGTCCACAGTCGGTTGTCTCAGCCGCCCAACTCTTGGGATTGTGTCGCTGAACCGTCCTGACGTCGCTTCTTTCGCTCTGCAGCGGGCACCTTGGCAAGCAATAAGCCATTTATAGATCTTCATCGATCGATTGCCGATGGGCCGTTTCTTGATATTCGTGGAATAACCATTCCTTTATGGAGTAAGTGGTTCAAATGACACGTGCCAGAAAGCAGGGAAAGCGCGTGATTGGACCAGAAACGTTGGTGGGCAGGGGTTGGTAGAATCGGGTTCAATCAATACTCCGTACACTAGGCGACAACCCGCTTTTAGCCCACGATCCCATGCAATGACAGCTTGGCAGCTCATCCCTATATAGACGTCACAGGTTCGCGTTTGGGAACGGTTGAGCCTTCAGGGTCGTGATGCATCCCAGAGCCGAATTCTTCCATAAGTGCCGTTGACGTTCCGAACCAGAATGCACTGCCGGATCCGCGCGACCGCATCCGGAATGTACGATCTTTCATGGTGAAAATATCCCTTAGTAGAAATCCTACCAATTCCCGTCTTCCCTGCAAGGTTCCGACGCCGAATGAATACGGAGTATGTCTCGGTGATCAAGGATTTGGATTAGATGACGTAAGGAAACGAAGGATTGACGCTTTAGACAGCAAGTACTCATTGACCGAATCGATACAGCTGCCAGAGATGTCGATGTAGCATGATTATGACAAAAGTTCAAGGGAACAGGATGAGTATCCTGGCCTGGGACACGTAGGGACAACGTTGGTTTGGAAAGTGCCCGTTCAGCACCTACACGAAAATCCGAGATACGATATTGTGGCTATTTTATCTGTTGTTTCGTTGTTGATACCAATGCACCTATACCGGGTTCGGACATGAGACTGGTGGGCCGATGGCGACATGTAAGGTCCTTGGGGCACAGTGGGATTAAGCATCGGGGTACTTGTCAACTAGGCATTGGGATTGAGATGTGGAAGCCCGGGCTGTGTTCCCCACTAGGTCCGGTCCATGAACACCGTTACATTCTACTTTTCTTGTTATAGCGGTTAGAAGATGGATATAAATATATTTCCTGGACATCAAAACCTGAGACAGAAAGTTGACATTTTCAACGACAAATAAAAAAACCCGTAAGACAACAAGACCATGATTCTGACTATTGTAACACTTTTACGCAACAGCCTTGGTGGCTTGATGGGGTTGAATTTTGCAAATGGGTCCGCCATAAGTTCACCTATTGATTCCAAGAAAGGAAAGAAACAGATCACTTTCGAGGGTCCGTCTCCCTTTCTTTCCAATTTACCCCCCCCTTCTCCCCGTCTTTTGACAATTTGTCCTTTCGCTGACGCAAGCCGACAGAACACCTCGCCCTCTCCTCCCTCCTCTTCCACTGGGCGGACAGTTATGACAGCAAAGACTGGGCGCGCCTCTCTCGCATCCTCGCGCCAGTCTTGTTGATCGACTATACCCAGGTTTCGGGAGAGTCGTATCCCTCCATGGCCGCGGCATCGTTCGTCGCCATGATGAGCTCTCCGGGTTTCCTCGGTGATCCATTATTGAAGACGCAGCATCTCCTTGGTGCGTGTGAGTGGGAGAAAGTCGATGACGATTTTGTGATTGCGAGACAACAGTTGAGAGCGGGACATCTGCGGTTTGAGGATGAGACCCATAAGGTGGAGAAGCAGAGGGGGCATAGCCATGCAACCAATGAGTTTTACTTCAGGAGGGTGTGGATTAAGGATGAGGAAGGGGATCAGGGGCGCTGGGAGTGGAGGTGGGCGGGGCTGAAACCGGTGGTTAGATGGAATGAGTATGACTTTGAGACAATTTTTGGGGGATTTGAATGTCCGAGGGTATGAGCTCGAGCAAAGCCAACGAGGTGCGGGAAATGAAGGGGAATTCGAGGAGATTGGTTTTGATTTATTCGAACTACTTTATTAGGTATTGGTATGTATCAGCATTGAAAAAATGAATATGTGCTTTAGATAGAATGAAATGATCTTGGGACAGACTTCATAACAGTCACGAGAGTCAGCATTTGTTTCATATCATAGCTGCACGATGCGCCATCAGTTATACTCTATAGAATACGCACTCTAAGTTTCAATTTTTGCTATAAGAGACGTTAAGGATGCTAGTTACCCTTAATTACTAGCTCAAGCTTGTTTTGGATTACTAACGAGGTGCCGTGCCAACAAGACACTGCAACCCTCCTTCATCTTTTCTTCAAGCTTTGAATCATGAGGCTCGGCTGTAGTTTCTAAAGTAAGCGCGTCCGTCATATGTGCCACTGCAAGGGGATTAAAGACGTCGGCCAGGTTGTTAATCATTGCCTCCACGAAACCTGCTCAGCTAAATTGTCTACCAATGCCTCTCGTGGTGCAGTTAGCAAGAATTATGTCGTTATGGAGAATTAGAGAAGGAGCCAAATCTCTAAAATATACGTGAGCTACAATACCCCTTGCTATAGCCTTCAGACGGCAAGGGGTCCCGATTTCGCGCTATACTTATTAGCATAGCTTATTAGCACGATTAAGACCATTAATGTAATGCTACGCAAGCTTGTGTGTATAGCAGAGCGAATGGAATGCCTAATTCTCTGGAGTCTATGGTTAAATGTGAGGGACTGTTCTTCGAGTGTCGTTGAATATATAGTGTAACACTCACAAGAGAAAACATTCTAAGTATCACACACCCAGTGAAGCTATGGAAGAAGCAGATGCCTTTGAAAACGCGTTTGTTTGGACTCCAGAGAAATGTGCGCTTCTCATCCGAGCCAGAGTATCGCATAAGAAAAAGACTTGGACTCAAATTGCCGAGGAACATTTTCCAGGTACGACTGCGGATATACTACGAAAGCAGTGGGTTAAGATGAAAATTGAGAACCCTACTCTGCGTGACAAGAAGAGACATCGAGGCGGTAAGGCCGGTCAATTTATTTGGACTCCAGAGAAACATGCGCTTCTCATCCGAGCCAGATTATCGCAGGAGAAAAAGACTTGGCATCAAATTGCCAAGGAAAATTTCCCAGGCTTAACTGCCCACGCCCTAGCAGGCCAGTGGTATATTATGAAAAAAGTACACCCTGATCTGCGTCACAGGAAGAGACACCGAGGTAGTAAGGCCTATGAACAGAATTGGAACCCAGACAATTGTACGCTTCTTATTCGAGCCAGATTATCGCAGGAGAAAAAGGCTTGGCCTCAAATTGCAGAGGAAATTTTCCAGGCAAGAGTGCCGGATCTATAAAACATCAGTGGTATAAGATGGAAAAGGAACACCCTAATCTGCTTAACCTCACAGTCGACGAGGCAGTGAAGTTATTTACAAACGACTATGAAAACGTTAGCTCAGAGAAGGAGTAGGCGATAAAGACAAGGGAATTGGAGAGTACAGCCAGTGTGGCCAATAGTTTATCAGTTTATCAGTTTAACCAGTCCAGTCCAGTCCAGTTCAGTCCAGTTCAGTCCAGTTTAAGGTTTCAACAGTTCAGTTCAGTTCAGTTTAGCAAAATTTATATCAACTCAGTTCAGTCCAAACTATTAGTTCCAATCACGTGGGAAGTCAAGTGCTAGGCTTGTTGGGAATCGGAACGGGAGCTGAGGGATTCCGGGTTTTTGGCCTAGAAGTTTGGTAATCCCCGAGGGGGCCAGCGTTCCATGGCCCTTAGCGGGGCAGGTGAAAACTCTGTACCCAGAACAGTGGGCATACGGAGGATTACGGTAATTACTGTAGGGCCCCAAAACGCCCATAAATAGTGAGTAGGCCATTAGAATAGTTAGAATCAATTGGCCCGAATGCTGTAATCTATTGTCGAAGCCTTCTTGCCCATTGCGCAAAACCTGAAGGTCCGACTGACAAAACCGCCACACGATTTGTGCACGGTGACAATTTTTCGGTCCTTCCCCCAACAGGCTGCTCTCCACAGCTACGTGGAAGCCTAGACAGTGACCACTGCTGCCTATCGTACCTACCAATCTTGTTCACTATTCTTTCGTCTGCTGCTATTCATTTTTCATACCTAGATTCCTTGGTTACAGTTCAGTACTACAATATAAACCACTATGGCCTCCCAACAGTCTGATAGCTTGTCAATAATTGACAGCGGACAATCTAGAGCACCTTGTTCATCCTCTCTCTCAACTCCTACACAAAAACGCGATCGCAGATCAAAGATATGGGACTACAATGAAACGTCACGGGAGACACGTATTACCAACTCAAGTGGAAAGATGCTCTGGCGATGCAAGCTATGTCACAAAGAGTATCTGGAGTCTGGAGGCACTGCTAATATATCAAGTCATTTAATAAAGGCTCATAGCGTCGATATAATGTCTTCACAAGCCACGAAAGTCCTCTCCCGGCAAACCAGCATTAAAGAAGCTATGGCCCGGGGCCAAGAGACTAGCTATAAATGCCGCCGCCTAGCTGAAGAGCCAGATACGGAGCATATGATGGATCCTGCAGTACTAGAGCACCTTTACGTGCGGTGGATAACTGCTTGTAGCATTTCTTTTCGTATGGTTTCCCGAGAGGAATTTAGGGCGTTTCTTCATTACCTTAATCCAGAAGTGGATGTTTGGCTTCCTGATTCGCATATGTCAATACAAGCGTGGACGCTCCGTATGTATGAAAATGAGCGACTACGGATACAACAGAAGGTCCAATCGGCACTCTCCAAAGTCCACTTTACTGTAGATCTTTGGTCCTCCCCTAATTCCCTAGCGATTCTTGGAATGATTGCGCATTATATCAGTGAAAATGGGGAGTTGACACATTATGTACTTGCCTTAAAGGAGATAGAGGGAAAACATTCAGGTTAGTACTTTGAAATGCTCTAATCGTTGTTTAACTAAGAATGAGTTTAGGAGAGAATCAAGCGCAGATCATTATGCAGGTCATTAATGACTATGGGATTGCTTCAAAGGTTGGATACTTTGTAATGGACAATGCAGACAATAATGATACAATGACGGTGTCTTTATCTGAGAGTCTGTATAAATCATTCTCATGTTTTAGACTTTAGTTAACTCATTTTACAGTGCTCTTGGATCAGTACAAAATCTACTACAACCACTTTCTCACAGGCTTCAGTGCAATGGCCACATCATCAATCTGGCAGCCCAAACCTTTCTCTTTCAAACTGAGGATGAAGCTCTTGCAGAAGAGAACAATACAAAGCTATTATCGCTCCCCACAGAAGCTGAAATGGCACGGTGGAGAAAGAAAGGGCCACTTGGCAGGCTACATAACATTGTAGTTCATATACAAAGGTGCCCGCAATGGATCGCTAGATTTCAAGAGCTTAGCAGAGGCCGTAATCTTGCACGGGACAACTCGACACAGTGGAACTCTTGGTACAAAATGATCAGCACTGCTATAATTCTAAACGCCTGTCAATCTCTATTGTCATCAATATAAAGAGAACGACCGCAACTTATTGTCAGAGCAGGACTGGATTGAGCTTCAAAAGCTTCAGGACTTTCTCCTGTCTTTTCACCACGCCACACTTTCTACAGAAGCTCGTGGTGACACAATCGATAAAGTACTGCTATCAATGGACTTTCTGCTTGAGCAGTTTGAAGACGCTAAGCGAGTATATGCTGAGGATCCTTTTATGAGTCCTTGCTGCAACTCAGGGTGGGCCAAGTTGGATAAGTACTACACCCTCACCGACAGATCTCCTGTTTATATTGCAGCCTTAGTATTATGTCCACAATGGAAATGGGATTATATTGAAAGTAGCTGGCCGAAGGAATGGCATGCCAATTGTAAGGCAAAGATGCAGGAGTTCTGTGTAAGGATGCCTCCTTACTCGGGGTAGTTACGGCCGTCACGTGGCGCCATCGAGACTCGGGGCCGTTACGGGTCAGTCGCGACTGACAGCCTTAGGCACATAACGTAAGGAAGCCTTAGGCAAACAGGGAGCTAGCTGAGTCGGAGCAGTTTCGGGTATTTTAAGGGAACAGCCATACAGGGTGACACCTTCATCTTTTTTGTATCCTTCGTAGTAGACCTATAGGATAGAATACAGCATCACCTCCGACTCGCACTCCCATATGCACCTACGGAGAGCCGTATTCCCTGTGTCCTTACATTCTGGGAGTCAGATTACAAGTCGACTGCAGTTTCAGTGCCTACGCAAGCATCCCAGGCAACAGAGTCAGCAAATTCTGGGGTCTCTAATGCCTTTACACAATATATTCAGCGGAAGCAACAAACCGGCCTCGAAAGCGATGAATATGCAAAGTATTTACAAGCCCCAACACTTCCAGAAGTCAGGGACCCATGGTCTTGGTGGTTGGAACCAACACAACGATGTAATGGTGGGTGCACCAGATGTGAGAATCTAGCCACCCAAGGAAGGGATGAATTTACTAAGACAACTAGACTGGCCACGGTCCGGTCCGGTCCGGTCTTTTAATGTTGAGTGAGGACTGTTTTACGGTCCAGTCTTTTTTTTTAGGACTGGACCGTGAGACAAAAAGACCGGACTGATAACATTCTAGTCTTTTTTTTAGAGTGTAGACTGTTTGCTAAAGTTGAGGTCCCTTTAAAAGACCGGACTGATAATAGTCCAGTCTTTTTTTAGAGTGTGGACTGTTTGCAAAAATTGAGGACTGTTTAAAAGACTAGACCGTTCGGTCTTTCCTAAGAACAGTCCGGTCCAGTCCAGTCTTTTACATTATAAGTGGGGGCCACCACATGTCATCACATGATATGTTATTAGGAATAGCTTTAAGTGCAATCGAATATTAATAACGTTACTATTAAGTGTTACTGTACATGCATTTTGAGGTATAAGTTGAAAATAGTATAACTATAATAGTTCCATTTACACACTGTTAAATAATTACACGTGATTATATTTACACGTGATATTATATTTACAAGTGATATCATATTATTCAATCAAAATCGATCATAGAGTAGTCAATTAGTTATGACTTATATTTGATATGAGTTTAATTAAGCATTAATAGCAGCTACTAACGTTACTATTAATTATTACTATAGTTTGATAAATATTAACGTACATGTATAGCGAAAGCGCCAAACAAGCGAAAGCGCCAAAATGATGCGGTGACCAAACCCCCCAACTAAATGTTAAATTCCTCAACAACAAAACATGCCCCATAAAAACGATGAAAGCCAATTAGTGCTAGCTATCCAGGCTATGCAAAGCGACCCAAAGTTATGCCTTCGAGTTGCTGCTAGGATCTATTCTGTGGACCACCGCAAGCTAGGTCGTCGTCTAGAAGGTGTACCTTCACGACGCGATATCCAAGCCAACTCACGGAAATTAACTAACCTAGAGGAGTCCGTCCTTGTTCAGTATATACTCGACCTAGCTGCCAAAGGGTTTCCTCCTCGGCTGTCTGTTGTTGAAGATATGGCAAGTCGACTACTTGCAACACGCGACGCGTCACGCGTTGGGTCGCGTTGGGCTTCAAACTTTGTTAAGCGGCGTGTAGAGCTCCAGACACGCTTTCAGCGCAAATACGACTACCAGAGGGCTAAGTGCGAAGATCCAGAAGTTATTAATGGCTGGTTTGAGCTTGTGCGTAACACAATTGCGAAATATGGTATCGATGAAGCAGATATCTACAACTTTGATGAGACTGGGTTTATGATGGGTGTTATCTCAACTGCTATGGTTGTAACAAGCTCAGACGGGCGGGCAAAAGCAAAGAAGGTACAGCCTGGTAATCGGGAATGGGTTACAGTAATCCAAGGCGTTAGTTCTCAAGGTTGGGCAGTACCACCAATCATTGTTGCAGGCAAAAACCACCTTACATCTTGGTATGAGAATAGTGGATTTTCAAGCGATTGGGTGATTTCTGTTACTGAAAATGGCTGGACTACAAACGAGAGAGGCATGGATTGGATTCAGCACTTTGAGAAGCATACAAAGGCCCGGAGTGTTGGTGGTTATCGCTTGTTAGTCCTTGATGGTCATGAGAGCCACCACTCAGATGAGTTTGAGGAGTACTGCAAGGAACACAACATTATTACGCTTTGTATGCCTGCTCACTCTTCTCATCTACTCCAGCCACTTGATGTTGGCTGTTTCGGCCCGTTAAAGCAGGCCTATGGTTGGCAAATTGAAGATATGATGCAGGCTCATATTTCTCATATTACAAAGGATGACTTCTTTCCTGCCTTCCACGCTGCATTTAACACTACAATGACGGAAAGTAACATTCGAGGCGGGTTCCGAGGGGCAGGGCTTCTTCCATTTGACCCTGAGAGAGTGATATCTACACTTGATCTTAAGTTAAGGACACCAACGCCTCCAAGCTCCCGCCCAGGTACTGCTCAACCTTGGGTTTCTCAGACACCAAACAACCCAATTGAAGCTATGTCACAGTCTACATTTATTAAAACTCGGATTTCACGCCATCAAAATAGCTCTCCAACCTCAATCTATGCAGCTGTTGACCAGTTTACAAAGGGTGCATCGCAAATAATGCATCAATTAGCACTGCTAAAGGCAGAGAACCAAAACCTACGACAGGCAAATGAAGTACTAAGCAAGCGCCGGAGAGCTAGGAAAACACGACTACAGCAAGGAGGATCACTTAGTCAACAAGGGGCGCAAGAGCTACAGGATGAGAGGGATGTTGTGCAGCAGGTAGAGCAGGAAATAAGGGCAGGCCGTGGTCGGAAGCCAAGGGAAGAAACCCGTGCCCGTCGCTGTGGCAAGTGTGGTGAGACTGGGCACAATGCGCGCACGTGTCAGATTGTAATAGACACCTCTGAGGAAGAGGACTCCGAGTAGTTTTAATTGATTTCTAATGTTGTGGTAGATTTATCGCAATGTTTGTCGTGAGGGTAGATAATTTTGGCGCTTTCGCTTGTTTGGCGCTTTCGCTATACATGTACGTTATATGGTTACGTTAATTTAATAGTTATTAATTAATATAGTTAACATTTGCATAACATTATTATTTTATATTTTTATATTTAAGTTATAGTATAATGAACTTCAGTTTCATCATAAATTATGTAATTAAGCGTTACTGTATACTGTTACTGTCACGACTGAAATACTAAAGACAGGTTGTGAAATCATCAATTGACTATTTATAAGAACACACTAATTTATCTAATGCTGCGAGAATTGGCGAACCAGGACACAAGCTGCATATCCTTGTTCTGGATGGTGATACGCTTGGCGTGGATGGCGCACATGTTGGCCCCTTCGCACTATTAGTATAGTTTTTGTAGGTGTTCATAGAGACAGCTTACCTTCGAAGTATGACACAAGGTGGGCCTCAGCGGCCTCTTGGAGGGCACAGATGGCAGTAGACTGGAAGCGGAGGTCTGACATGAAGCTTTGCGCGACTTCACGAACAAGACGCTGGAATGGGAGTTTGGGGAGGATGAGGGCGGCCGACTTCTGGTAGTGTCGGATCTCGGCGACGATCCGTTCTTTCATATAAGTTAGTAGTGTGAACAATATTCTATTAGAAAAGAATAGCATACTGTTGACAGAAGCCTTGCTCAAAGGAGGGACAGGGCGAGGGGCTTGTTGTGGGAAGTTGGAGCCAGGGTGATCCCGCTCCCAGTTACTTTTCTGGGCATTGTAGCTCCAGATCTTTTCTTGGCGGGCTCGGCGCGCAGTCTTGTGAATATCGACTGTTTGTTGAGTTAGTAACCTTGTATTGCTTGTAGGGTAGGGTGGAATACTTACCGTGGCGCTCAGGCTTTTGCTTGGTGCGAGCCATGGTACAGATGTGAGCGAGAGCGATATCTAAAACATGTTAATTTGCCATATTGTAGCAATTTGGCGTTACTGCTGGGCGTTACTGTAGTTGTAACGCCCAAAGAACAAAAGGGGTGAACTTACAAAGGTTGGTGACAGAAGGAAAAATTGCTAGAACTTGTATATTAGTAAAATAAACACAATACCGTTACTCTACAGCGTTACTGTAGGGTTAAATCAAATGTAAAGAAGATTGAACTTACCAATGTTGCTAGACGCGTTATCTCAGAATTGTTGTAGAAGTTAGGATCGAATTCGAAGTAAGGGCGCTTAAGTGTTGTTGCAAACAAAAAAAACTCCGTTTCTTGTTCCAAATCCGGACGTGTCAATAACAAAGAATAGTACGAGTAAGTTAGCAAAGAAACCACCCTTACATTTGATTACCTCTGATTATTAACTTCCTTTTAGATTTCCAAATTTATTGACTATACCGACCCCGACCAGTAAGTAGTTGCGCCCCTACTTTCAAAAGACGTCCGCCTTGTTAGCACATTGAAGTACTCTCACAACAGTATAATCAAAGCCAGTGCTAACAGTAACGCCCTATAGTAACGCTCATCAGCTCCAAATCGCCTCTAACGCAACTTTACCATGTTGTCTCCAGCCACTGCGAAGTCATATGAGGAGAGACGCGCGGAAGTCATTGCAGCTACTGCCCACACCATTGAGCTCACTCAGAATGCGGACCGACAGGTATAACAATCCTACCATCCTGATATCAATTGTTCTAGAGCTGATATCAAAGCTAGGCTATGAGCCGTGCACGCCGTACCCGCCAGGGTAAAGATGACTGGGAGGGCCTTACGGCCAATGAACAAGCTGCCGTGTTAGCTACAACGCAGCAGGATATCATGGACAGGCGCACCGCTCGTGGTATTGACGCCAATTCCCGCCTCACAGCCGCTATTAATGATGAGAGTGCGGCTATTGCGGCCATTAATGCAGAGGAGCTGGAGGAGAAGTTGAAGGCCCTACCAAAGGGCGAAGGCAAAGCTGTAAGTAATAGCTAAAACATGACGATACTATCTAACATAATGGTTAGACTGGCAAGACATCGACTAGCGACAGCGGTGAAGAAAATACCTTAAAGGATATCTGGGCCAGCAACATGGTCCCAGTCATTGAGTGCTGGGAGCGCAACATTGCCCTTGCTGGCAACATCCTTATGCCCGAACTCTCAAGGAAGGAGATCGAAGAGTTTGCTGGGGGGGTTAGCAACCCTGATAATATCAAAGAGTTCGTGAAGCAGTGGGAGAATAACAGCAATGCTGATGTTGAAGATGGGCTGGTAGATTTTGGTGATGATGGTGAAGAAGTGGAGGTGGTTATATCAGAGGATGAGGAGGACGATGATGAGGACGAGGATAGCCTCAACGGCTTCATTGTCGGGGTTCGTGTAGAGGAGGAGGAGGAGGTGGAGGAGGAGGAGGAGGAAGAAGAGGAGGAGGAGGAGAAGGAGGAGGAGGAGGAGGAGTAAATTCACGTCGTATACTGTACTATAGTATACTAAACCAATGGAGTTTTTGTGGTTACTGAATTCCATTTTGAGATCTTCTGCCGTTACTATCTGCCATTACTATCTAATAAAACTATTTGTCAGTACTCCGAATAGTGACTACTGTACTCATAGTAACGGCCAGCAGTAACGGAAGAGAGCCCAAAAGCAAAAAGTCAGCATGCTTCTACTCCTCGGCTGAGCCAAGGAACACAGTCCGACCAATTAACAGTCAAACGCCTATTTTGCAATTCCAATTCATATTACACTAGCTAGGATATACAGACTCTGCATCCAATAAAAATAAGGGCTACTACTCATCATCTCGGTTACACGTAGGCTACAGTAACGGCCAGCAGTAACGGAAGAGAGCCCAAAAGCAAAAAGCCAGCATGCTTCTACTCCTCGGCTGAGCCAAGGAATACAGCCCGGCCAATTAACAATCAAATGTCAGTTATACAGTTTAACTTTATATTATGCTACATAGGAAATATAATCGATCTGTATCTACTTAGGGTTATACACACTGCTCATTATCTTGTTATATGCTGTAGCAACAGCTAATAGTACTAGATATAGCTTCGGACTTTGAAATAAGATAGGGCTAATGTAGCAAATTGTTAAGCCAATGAAACCAAATTGCTGATTTTGTAATTTAAAACTCGTAAGCGTTACTCTCTAGCGTTATGGTAAACCTAATTAGAGCTAGACAAAATTGTTTAACTCCATAATACTATGTTCAACTAACACAAAATAGGAATAGCAAAGAGTAACGGCAATGAGTAACGGCAATGCGTAATGGCAATGCGTAACGGCAAAGAGTAACGGCAAAGAGTAATGACAAAGAGTTCAAATATTACCCTATTGCAATGTGCATTCTTGTATTCTGTACTACCATTTGTTCTGTTGCAAAAGACTATGAAGAAATGGCCGTCCTTCCAAAGGCCTCACTTAACATTCATCATTCGTCTGATTGACCTACACTCCTACTACAGTACATTTTCTCTATCCTCTTAACAACATGTCGAGCCCAAGCCCATTTACAATGATGAATCAGTCACAATTTGAGCATCCGCTTACCTCTGACACTGAGGATATCAACTCGCCTTTCGAGCCAGCACTTATCTTCTCCCAAGATGATGTACTGAGTGGAATTGAAGCTCCTCTTGATGAACTTCTTGAAAAACTACTCAAGTCTCCTAATAACCGATATGTTATATGGAAGGAGGATACCGCTAACGAATGGCATCAATGGTGGACTGCGAAGATTTCAAACAACATCAATCGAGAGATATTCCGACATATGGTTTGGACAAGGTCGAAGAGGTCCTTATATGGACTCAATTCTACCAAGGAGCTGAGGTCCGAACTGGCAATCCTAAGGTACTATGTCAGTTGTGTTGGAGGGCTTTGCACACCCTAAGCTTCGACAAGGTGGGAGTAGCACATCTACTTTAACCCGACACACCAATCTGGCGCTTGTAGTAGAAAGGATGGATCACAAACTCATTTACACTTAGTAAGTTATCTATCAGTGGTCTAGAGTAACGTTCTAGAGTAACGCTAATGACCTTCTTTAGCTGCCGCGTGCGCATTTGGAAAGGGATACCATACAGCCTTTCACACATACAGCATGGCGAGAGCAGTTGATTATAGCCATAATTTCATCAAGCCTCCCTTTTCGAATAGTGGAGAACAAGAGGTGCGAAAGGTTCTAAACATGTTGAAACCCGACCTGGAAATTCCACACCGGACAGTTATACGCAAAGAATTAACAATGCAATTTAACAACGTCATGGAGAAGCTACTATTGGATTTACCGCCTATGGCAAAGGTTTCAATTGCCCTTGATGGATGGCAAAGTCCGTTCAAATTAGCGTTCTTAGCAATTACTGTGTATTATATCACTGATGATTGGCAATGGAGAGAGGTGAGCAGATTATAACTTATATAATAATATATTAACTTACTAACATACATCTTATAGTGTCTTATTGGTTTCGAGCCAATGACTGGAGTCCATTCAGGACAAAATATGGCAGCTGTTGTACACAATGTACTGGAACAATTCAATATTACGGGACGACTTTTTTTGCGTGACAACTGATAATGCATCAAACAATGGAACAATGCGCAAGGAACTTGAGAGCTACATGAGAAGTACTACACAAGAAGTAGAGTGGAGTAGTGATGCAACAAAAATACCATGCATGGCGCATGTTATACAGCTAGTTGTAAAAGCTATGCTAAAGGCCTTCAATGTCGACATGGCTGAAGAAGTTATAGATGTTACTGGTGTTTCAATTACTGATGATACGACAGTCACATCAGCTATTAGAAAGGTTAGTCCATGATAGTAACGCTTGATAGTAACGCTAACTGACGTCAAATACACAGATACGCACTCTTAGCAATCTTGTGAGCAGGTCTGCAAAGAAAACTGAATTATTGCTCCAGAAGCAATCTGATATAGAAGCAAAGAGACTACTGCAGCTAAAACGGGATATTGATATAC